AGAGAAAAAAACACGCACGCCCACGCCCGCTAGACAGCGGAGACAGATAAATCGACGACAATCTGCAGCGGCGACGGCGGCGGCGGCGGCGGCGGCGCGCGAGGTCGATGACCCACTGCCACCCTGACTCGCTCTTTCGGCCGAGCTTTTTCATTGAAAAGCTTCTTTTCTCTCGGCTTATTACGGCGGCGGAGAGCAGCGATTCTCCCTCTCGAAAATAAACCGGAGCTTGCGCAAACAGCCATCTTTCGGATAATATTGTTTCAGTTGGTTCGCCGCCGCGGACGGCGCGCGCCGACTCACCTAGATAGGGCCGGACGGCGCGCGCGTTCTCGCGCGCTCGGCCCGACATTTTTCCGGCGACACGCGGCCGCCGCAGCAGTCGAGGAGCGCGCCGGGCGCCGAGCGCACGCTCGTGCCAGCAATGCAGCCGCGCAAATGGTCGACGCTCGGGGAACGGCGTCTGGACCGCGAGGCAGCTCGGCGACAATCTTGCCGACCAAAAATAGCAGCACGCGCGGAGCCACGGCGCGGGCTCGGACCTTTAGCACTTTGTTTGCCGTGGTCGTCGGCTGACGATTGCGCCGTTGGCAGGCTTTCAAAAAGAACGCGCGCGCCTCGCCGTCGCCGTCGCCGCGACCCACGTCATCGGCTCGCCTCGGCGCGGACGTCCGATGCGAGCAGGCTCTCGTCGATCAGGCGCAACGTTAGCGTCGTTCGCGGAGCGCGGACCGACGCGCGGCGATCGCGCTCGGATAACGCGCTGTTGGTCTTGGACGCGGCGCGGAGCTCGCGCACGATCGAGCTAGCCGCCGGCTTGCTATGCGCCGAACTCCTCGTGGACAATGGAGGCTTCGAAGCCCACGCGCGTCTCTCTGCGCCACTCGCTTCGACTCGAGAACGATCGCGTTACGTTAGACGACATCGATTAGCACGCAGTCTGTGGCCGATCAAACTCGTATAGGTGCTGGATCAATAAAACGCCGTATTTGCCAGATAAACTTTGCTGTATTTACCAATGTTTTGCTACAATCGTTAATTATTGTTGGACATTTGAAACCATTTTTTTCAAAAACAGATGCAACACTGTAATACTAAGAAGCCTAAATTATCGCATTTCGAACCGGATGTTGTTCAAATTTGAACGTAAAATATAAGTACATTTTTCTTTTTCATTAAAAAGTTGCCGACTTCAAGAAATACGTCTGCTTGAAAAAAGACATTTCCGCTTGTTTACAACTTCATTTGAGAATGCCAACGATTAAGAACGCAGCACACGTATCAATAAATCTTTTTGTCCACCGGATTACGCATAATTAAAGAAAACAAAGAATTTGCAATGATTTCTTGCGTGGATCGATAAATACAATTCTAATCGATATCCAATTCAATAGCGCGATGAACAAAATACCAGCAGTCTATCACGTAAATAAGTCAATGATTACAATTCTAGACTCGTTGAAAATAGTGTCTAATAAATTTGAGACTGTGTATTTGCAGTAAAACTACCAAATGCGGGTGAACTTGATAAATTACTTATATTAACTCTGTAATTTCACGTGATTATACACAGAGAAAAAGTTCATTCCAAAAATTACGATGACAGACCGATAATGCAATTACTTTTTACCAAGAAACTTCAATTCCATAATGACAAATCCATACTTTTTTGAGCATTGAAAATTTATACAGAAAACTCGTGAAAATTATGGATATTCGACATAATTTTTTCATGTCATTGGCGTAAATTTTACTGTGACGGTTGCCCACTTTTTACCTCTGCCTTTCGTTGCCGTGAAGCACGTGATCAACCACTACAGTTAAACTCAGGTTGTGTTCTTTGCTTCACTGGCAGTTTAATTTATAATTTTGTTGTAGTTTTGTTCTACTTTTTCAAATGTTCACAAGATAATGATTATAATTTGTGGATTAAAATTTAAAAACACGTGATTTAGTTAACGGTTATTTCATGCTTGTAATAATCCTAACCTCCAAAATTTATTTCATTACGTGCTATATCGGCCGATAAATTTTTCTTTATTATTAAACCTTCTCACGAGGATCATTGGCCATCTCTATCAATTTTACGGGTTTATTTTCTCCGTAAAATGAATTTCGATTTGTCGAGTTTTGATCTAGCTACCGGTCTAGTGAAAAATCTACCGATCTCTATAACCTTCTGTTTGTGTAAACATTTGAAATTCAGGAGGCGATTTTTTTCAATTGTGTCAATTGTGACACAAATCGCGGAAAAAGTCAATTCCGATAGAAATGAAACGAGACCAACTGGTGTGTATACCCTTTGGAATGGGATCAGCCCGAAAGAAATCGGTTCGGGCGAGTAGGAAACGCACCCGCGCGCTTAAAAAGTCAAGTCTGGTGCAAAGACCCGTCCTTTTTGAAGTCGGCAACGAAATAATGCCACGTCTAGACGTTCATTTTTTAATTATGTCCGCCTATACTTCTATGAAAAGCATTTTCAATTGATGCGGACATTTCGATTGATCAACGATTACGCGCGACAATTCAATATCGCATTATGCATGTTCTATAAAAGATGAAAAAGCTGTCGATGATCCGAGATCATTCATCGATCTCATTAACAAAAACATCTTGCCTCTCAACTTCGATATTTGCATTTTGCAAAACATTCAGATATATTTCGTTCAATCTCAATTTTGTTGCAGCACCTGCAGTAATAACGCGACAGCTTTTTAAAACTAAAAGTCGCGATAACCGTCGAACAAAAACATCGGATATCACGTTGTCATCGGCAAGCTGAAATTTCACAGAGCGCCGTCGCACGTTCGTCAAATTGCATATATTCCGTCGTACGAGGCACTTCGATCGCAGCATTAGCTTGGCAACGAAGACATGGTAATCTCGTTAGCAATAAGTCAGCACGACAGCGCTCGAACAGAAATGACATCGATCTAATAAAGCGCAGGCAGGCCTTTCTTCAGTTCCGCTACGTACAACAACCGACGAAGAAGCGTACGGTGCTTTTTCTTTTTTCAAAGGAATGGACCGTATGAATTATTTTTGATTTTGTATTACGGATTTACTAACGAGAATCGAGAATTATTGATACGGAGCGAAAATAGTTCGACGCGATTTGATTTGGCTTTTATTAAGTCACGCGGATAATTCATTTCACTAGGCCGCGCGCGCGATATTATTAAACTTTCCGGCAGCGAGCGAAGCTATATTCCTTTTTTCCAATCATTGCGATGGGATTAATATGCAGCGACGGTAAACGCGCCCTTCATTGCCGCGCGCGGACGACGCTAATTTTTCGGCGATTCGTTCATTTTTCACGACGACGACGAACGATCGTGTTAAACTTGCAGCCACCAGCTGCGCGTTATTTCCTTTGGAATGATCGTTGCGGGAACGCGTACGAAAAGCTTTGAGAGGCGAAGGAAATCGTTGCAGCTTATCGCGGCCATTCGCACGTGTAAGGCACAGCTAATTAGCGCGACATAATACTAATGTCTTTGTTTTCCGGACGATAGCATTGCCACGGCGAGGGAAATTTATATCGTTCGGCCACACCCGAGCTTGTTTGCATTACACCGGACGGTCAAAATCGCCACGCAATGATATCGCGGCGCGTCGTCAAGCGGCATTCATAATTAATCGCTCAGTCAAACGCGAAAGCAACATTGTTCACAATACGCGACCAACGCAAAAGACTACGCGTAGCGTCAACTTCAAATTTTCTTTTTTTTCGCAGAGAGAAAGAGCGAGAGTGAGAGAGAGAGAGAGAGAGAGAGAGAGAGAGAGAGCGCCGAGTGATCGGGTTGTTTGCTAACGAGGCTTTTCGGATCTATTATTAGAGAACGATCTAACATGTTGGCACGTGTGCAACGCGAGAGATACTCGTCGATATACGCTCTCGCATATTTCGCCGGCGCAGAGACTTTGGCAGAGCGAGAACGACGTAAGGATGGAAAAATTTGCGGCGTATTTTTAGTTTTTTTCCTTCCTCCTCGGAATCCCGGCGATGAGCAACTCGTCTTCGGCCGCGCTTACTTCGCTCGAGGAGAAACAGCCGCACCGCGTCCGCGTGATTTTCCGCACTAAATGCAACTGCCGACGAGGCCGGGTAGCCACTCGCACTTGGTGTCGGCGGCGCACTCGCGAGATCACCAGAAACACCCACGGCTAGCCGAAGCAACGGCGACGACGAGGCCGCAGCGCGCATTCGACGACGTCCTGAGCCAATCTGCTGATGACGATGCTAAAACTAACCCTGGTTTCGCCTGTCTACATTTATAACATCCTTTCCTCTCTCTCCTAGCCCACGTCTCTATCTCTCTCTCACTCTCGCTTCGCTCTCAATTTTAGCTTGCCGTATTAACAAACCTGCCGCTGCCTCGCTGTATATACGCGTACGCAGCCGCTCGCGGCGAGCAAGTGGAAAAGATACCAAAAATAATTCCCTCTCGCGAAGAAATAAATCGAGAGAGAGAGCGAGAGAGAGAGAGAGAGAGAGAGAAAGAGAGAGGCAGCACACACACCCCCGGCGCGGCACGCGTCTTAGCCGCGGTCGTCGCAGTGGCATCGCCCCTCTCTCTCTTTCGATAATATAAGAAGAGAAGCCAGCCTGGCCACAGTCGGGCACTAGGTGCTCACTCTCCGCGCGTTCCTCGCTCGACGGACCGCTGCCACTGCGAACTGCAGTGCCGCGACGCTCACGTGGACCCGTGCACCACCAACGAGGTGAAGTTCACGAGAGTCGGGCGTGCCGGCGAGGCAAGTGAAGTTCCGTCAGGCTAACATCGCGGATCTACCAAGAGGAAGCGCAGTGTGAACCTCGCGGACGGGCCTGTGCTCGCGCGCGTGATCGCAGCGGGCGAGCAAGGGAGAGAGAGAGAGAGAGATAGAGAGAGAAAAGTCATTTTCGATAGGCAACGTTCGACGCCTTATAAATATAGAGAGGAGCTTTTCGCGAGCGAGCCCAGTCCGAGAGAAGAAGAAAGAAGCGAACAACTTACCTCTGCTGTTTTTAGAACTCCACTCCCAGAACTGCGCGAGGCGGCCAACACCAAAATACCACATGAGCTGCGCGACGTTGGCGCGCTGCGCGCTTTCGCGGGGCTTTGCCTTCGCGTGGGGGCCAACAAGTCCGTGTTTGAGGGTGTCTGTGTCTGTGTGTGTATGCGTGTGTGTGCGTGCGTGCTTCGGTTGAACAGCACGGCACAGCCTCTCTCTATCTCACTCTCCCTCTTAGCGCGGCTGTGAAAGAGAAAAGGCATACATGACGTGTACGTGTACGAGTGAATCGAGTTCGGTTTTGGTTAGGTTCGAACACGTGACCCTGGCGGGACTGCTAGTGGGGGAAGATGCGAACAAAATGACGCTGCGCTCGACAAATGGCCGACGCTATTTTTGGACATGCTCTCGGTTTTTTGAAACTTTTACGCTGAGCTTTTTCCGTGCTGCCATTGCCGATTGTTAATTGTACATTTGGGGATGCTACGATGAGATATTCTTTGGAGTATGGTTTTGATTGATCAATTTGTTATATCGTTGGACCGAATGGGGGGAGGGGAGGGGGGCACGAACGTGGTCGAGCTATTTTTCGCCGACGCGTGGCATACACGTACAGCCTCACATCCCATTGGTCCATCAGGGTTTCGTTGTGTGGCCAAGAATCTCGCGGGGCGGTGCCGACGACGACGAAGACGACGGCGACGATCGTCACGGCTCGGTTTTCATCTTGGCGAGCGCGATTTTTTCTTTCGTTTCTTGCTCGACGTTGAGAAATGAGCTATAACACAGCTTCTGCTTTTTTTACGACCAAAAATTATAAGTAGGTCTAACTGCAATTTCCGAATTAACGAATGACGGTTGTCGACGAGCTGAATTAGTGACACATGATCGGTAAAATTCAAGGAGGATTTTGAAAATCGTTAAATAAGATGTTTCAGAGACTTTTTTTTCTGATAAGCGCTTTGCAAATATTGGTGTGTCCCACATGATCACGATGACTCATAAATTTGATGGTGACTTTCGAAGATTGATAATGAATACTCGTCATAGAAAACCTAGTACGAAGAGCAAACGAAGGAAAGATCCGGAGAAGTTATTTGACGAGAAACAGCGAAAAGCGCACACGAGATAAGAAACCTGTCGATAGATAGAGAGAATGGTCAAGACGCGTACGTAACAAGCTCGCAGCGACAACGGCATAATACGGTATCGCAGTCAATTGATCAGCCGCAGCTTCGCCCGGATTTTCGGCTGGCTCGCAACGAGAAGGAGAGAAGCAGCGGCGGCTTCGACATCTTGAGGTACAGCACAGACGGCGGACGCGAGCGTAATTGGCGTCGTCGCCTTGGGCGGCAGCGACGACAACGCCGCGGAGCCCGAAGGCCGCCGATTTTCAAGGCGGATGCCAATTCCATGCGGTTGCGACACGCGCGCGCCGAGCGATGTGGAGCGATGCCTCCTCTCGGGGAGGAGGAGAGCGAGCGCCGGGCTCGGCCGGGCTCGGCCGGACTCTTCCCTCGTTCGCGCGGCGTCGAACCCCGGAGCTCCTCTTTTCGCGCGCGGGCGAGCGAAAGCAGGGGAGAGAGAGAGAGAGCGCACGGCGGCCAGGCTCTAAATGAAAATCCTATACAGCGCGTCAAACGGATATGCGACAGCTGAAGAGCAAGTCGAAATTTAGACAATCGACTAGCTGTCTCGCGAGCGAGACACACATTGCTGGCGTAAAAAAGACAGCGAAGAACGCACGAGCCGTGGAGGGAGGGAGAGTGACGTGATTACATTTGTGTGCCGCGAGATCGAGAGAGATCCAATTATTAATTATCCGCTCGCTCGTTCGCCCGAGAGAGAGAGAGAGAGAGAGAGAGAGAGAGAGAGAGAGAGAGAGAGAGAGAGAGAGAGAGATATCTAATTCGCTTATGCATGTGCCAACCGAAATAGCGTCTCGTTCAATTATTTAAGCGCGCGAGCGGTAGCAGCAGGTGAACTGGTGAGAAAGGTGAACGATCTCTCTCTCTCTCTCTCTCTCTCTCTCTCGCTCGCGCACGGCTTCGGATTCGCTCTTCTCTCGTCGTTTCGTGCAATCGGCTTTCATCGGCGAGGAAGGCGCGCAGCTTTGACTCGCTCGTCGGTCGAGGCGGCGATCCCGTTTTTCCCTTCGAATCGATCTTTGGCGCGGCTGCAATCGCATCTTTCCGCGACGCCTCGCAAACGCGTCGACCAATCCGTTCAGCCGGCTCGCCGCTGTGACATTCGCGAAAAAATGAGTTGTCCCGCGGGTAACGTCTGCTCTAATTGGCGTGGCGCTCGGATTACCCGACGTAACGGCGCGTCGCGGCTGCCTTCCGTCGTGCGCGGCCAAACAATCGGCGCACGTGCTGCGAGCCCTCCGTACGTCTTTTCCGTTTCCTCCGCGGCGGATCGGCACGTGCCGCTCGATAAATCTGTCGCCGGCAGCTGACGACGACGCCATGCTCCGCAGCCGGCGTCGGGCCTTTCTTTTCCTTGCCTTTTTGTCTTCACTCCCTTCGCCCGGCCGAGCGCCTATTTTACTCTCTTTGGAAAGTCGAGAACTCTGGTTGGCGAAAGCAGGGCCTTCTCGCCGAACGCCTCTCGACGAACGGCTCTCGATTCCAACGTTATTCTCCACTTCGCGCGGGGACTTTGGAAATGGAAGCACGCGGCGAATACGCGCCAGCTTTCCTCGTCGAGCACTCCTTTCATTTGCATTATTACGACACACCTCGCTTTGTCAACGTAAGTATACATGTGACAAACGAAAACAATACAGCCCCCCAAACGTATCACGTCCGCACTGAGGAAACATTTTGGAATGATTTGCTCGTGACGCGACGTGGAATCACGTACAGAATCCAGCTTGAGCTGCATAGCCGATGATTTAGTCACCGTAGAGAGCGAACGAGAGAGAGAGAGAGAGAGAGAGAGAGAGAGAGAGAGAGAGAGAGAGAGAGAGAGAGAGGAAAAGAAGGGACGAAGCAGCTTCACGTGTAGAGGGACGAAAAAAGCAATTTATGTGTTTCACAGCTGATCGTCGAGATTCTAGAAATAGACGGGCGCGCGCTGATACATATATTCAGCGACTCATTGCTACGCGCGCGGTAATTGACGGCAGAGATAGGTGAATTGGCGAGAATTCGGCGTACCCTCGTCGCCTCATCGATCTGCCCTCTCGCGAGCACTCTGCTGACTCACGGGGAGAGCGCCACGGCTCTCGGACGCCGATTTGCAGTTCCTTCAGGCGCAAAAAATATGGATGAGAAGCCGCGGGAACGACGTCCGGGTCGTTATCAACTCGTCGTCGACTGTGGGCAGCAAAGGGAGGGAGCTTTCGGTGCCTTTTGGCTCTCCGCGAGGCAGCCGCCAGATAATTAAATCAGCGAGGCCGTGCGCATAAGTGACGGGAAAGCCATTAAAAGAAAAGACGGTTGAGCGCGACGCACATCACGAAAAATCTCCCGTCCGTCTGCCTCCGAGTGCTTGCACCGGAAAAGCGCAGAAAGCCGCCGCGGCATCCGAAAATAGCAGCCTCTCCCCTCCCGTTTTTGTCGGTAAACCTGCCTGCGTTGCCCCCTTCGGCGTTCCTCTTTTTCTCGTCGATCGAGAGGACGCGTGCCGTTCGCGCGACTGCTCCTCGCGCTTAATGGAGAGCGGTTACGCGCGCGCGTTTCGACACTCGAATATATCGCTCGGAGCGAGCGGCGCGTCGCACCCGGCCCACGGTTCTTTCCACGGAAAGCCAAATCAATCGTCGTCGCCGTGGGTAGCGCGCCGCCGACTGCAGTGCCTCGCGATGATCGCTCGATCGATCGCTAAACGCGCCGAAAAAGAAAAGCAACGCGTTCATTCACGGCGAGCCGCGGAGGGGAGGCGAAAAGAAAAACAACGAAAAAACAAAAAGAAATTGGCGAACGCCCGCCCGCCCGCTCGCTCGCTCGCGAGTCTTTGTCCTCTCGTTGCGAGAAGGGAACTAAAATTAACTTTGGCGTGCACGTGCGCGCACTTTTCGCATTACAACAACGCGCGTGCGCGCGTGCACGCGCGCGCGCGATACAGGCAGCTGTGAGAGATCGAGTTTTACGGGCTGCCGGCGCTTTTTACGCGAATCCAATGGCGAATAAAGCCTCGTTAATTCGCGCGGCGCTTTGCGCTTGCGGCCTTCCATCTGCAGCCAGAGAATTCCAGTGGAAGGCCCTCGAGAGGACGAGCGAACCCGGTTGACCACATCGGTGCGCCTACGTCTCGGCGAAAAATAACAGGCGTCGTGCGTCCCAACGAAGGTTATCGCCGTAGGAGTAAACGCACGCCTATCGAGAGGCGGACAAAGCTATCTCGCGAGCCCCGCTGCAGACGTCGATGGGGGATAAAGTAGCAGCGACTGGCATCTTCAAAACGCTGCTGCTGCTGTTGCTGCTGCTGCTGCTGCTGCTGCTGCTGCTGCTGCTGCTGCTGCTGCTGCTGCCGCTGCTGCTGCCGCTGCCGCTGCTGCTGCCAACTTATCGCCGCTGCCGCTGCCGCCGCAGGAAAAAAAAATGCCTTCGTAAAAGGCGGACTATCGCTCGAGAGAAGAGAATGGCCAGAGCTCGATCGAGTTTTCTAGGTCAGAACGCGCCGATATCAAAAGGTTTCTCGGTGTACTTGAGAGACTGCGATTACGACACTTCACTCTCGATGCTCGACCGGTTGTTATTTTGGATTTGGACGCTGCTTGCGCTCACGGCCGATCGTCTTCGACATCGAGGAGTCTGTAGCTCGATACGATCTCGGTGTCGTCTAAAACCAGCGAATTCTCCGACCGTGCACCGCGACAACTGTTTCGTTTGGGAGTACCAGTTTTGCTCTTTCGCTGCTACGGCAGTCACAAAAAGAGCGTAAAAAAAACAAGCCAACGCCGTTCTCGTTTGCGAAGGTTGGGTTTTTGACGAGGAAAATCCGAATAACCGACGAGCCGAATTTGGCGGACGGCCGTGCAGTGGGAGAAGGCGAGCGCGATAATCAGGCTAAGTTGCAATTGTCGATTCTCATCGAGTTTCAATGCGAGCGAGCTGTCGCAGCTTACATCGATTGAGGACACTGCCAAGATAGCTCAGTCGGCTTATCGACGAAGAAACGCGGAGGAAAAGGTTGGGATCGGACGGCAGGCGATCGGCTATAAAAATTGGTCCGAGCGAGCGAGTCGGTCATAAAGACGCGCAACGGGGCGGCCTGTCGCGAAGGAGCTTTCGGCG